CGCGGACGCGACGAAGCTGCTGCTCTTGAAACAACCCCCCCAGAGAACCCAATACCCCTTAATTAAGGAATATAGCTTAAATCATAATATGAAGCCCTACATAATCTAAGCCATATTCCTTAATTAAGGGGTATTGTGCTCTCTGGGCCTCAATAAACGAACCACATAAAGGAACCCTTTTACCGGAGCCCGATGGCTCCATGAGCCAAGAGGCAGCAGGATGGGTGTCGGCTTCACGTAGCGGGCGAAGTAGCCGAGACCCTTCTTGGCCAGGCCACCTTTCGGGGCTCTTGGGCGTTTGAGTTTCGGTTTACAGGGTCTAGTTGCTTACCTTTGGTTAGTAGGGAATGAAGGAATGATAGTAATATATAGTATAATAGTACCCATTCCTTCATTCCCTACTAACCAAAGGTAAGGTTGAGGTGTGGTGGTTTAGTTTAGGGTTTGGGGTTGGGGTTTAGTTTAGGGCTGAGGGCTTGGGGTTGTTCCTATATGGTTTCCCATGATCCCTTTACGGCTTCGTGGCAAGGCCATCTGGATGTCAGGGCATCGTTCTGGGTAGTATCGGGGCCTTAATACTTAGAATCCTCTAAGACTCTAAGGGTTGCTGTTATAGGGGCCTGTAAAGGTTAAATAATTAGAATGGGTTTGGCACGGTCGGTTATCGCATAGTGATATGGAGAGTATGGGGATATACTTACCAGTTCTTCCGACTACGTCGGTACTTAGGCAGGTAGGCAGGTAGGCAGGTAGGTGGGTAGGCAGGCAGGCAGGCAGGCAGGTAGGTAGGTAGTACTGTAGTAAGGAGTAGAGGTCCTTCGTCGCGGTGGTGGTGGTCAATGATAATGAACACTTTGGCCGAATCTCCAAGCGAAAAGACACTGCACCCTTGAAAGCACCAGAACTTGCCACAGCCTGATACCCTAGACTATACTCACTGGCCCAAAACCCAAGAGAATAAAATCTGAAACTTTCAGAATCGACTACCTCAAAAGAACCCCAAAAGTTGAACAGTTTAGTTTACAGCCAATAAGTATGTATATGTTACCCTACGCTACAGGCAGCCGCCAGCGCCTCCAAAGTAGGCCAGGGAGGTGAGCAGGGAGAGGGCCACGGTGGTGTTGATGTTGTTGGTTGGGGCCGCCAACTCACCTGCCGGGATCTCGAAGAGCTTCCAAGGGATCAGGGCACCGGACCAGTTGCTCACAAAGATGAAGAGGAAGATGGTCGTCACAAAGGGCACCCAGGGCCTGTAGAAAGACTCTCCCAAGTTGTTCTTGGCGATGTCGGTGGTGAAGCCAAGGGCCATTTCCTGGAAGTTTCGGGCGCCGGTAGGAGCACCGAATTCGCTGACGGGCGCCTTGGCATGGCGGGCCACCTGCGCGCAGACGCTGACCATGCTGCGGGCCGTGAAGAGCCCCGCCGTGAGCAGCGTGGACCCCGAGAACGCGCCCGGCACCGGCGCTGCCGTGCCCGCTGGGGCCGCGAGCGATGCGGGGCTCTGCTCGCCAGCCGCGGCGCCCATGGGCCTCACGGCGCCGCGGAGCTCCTCCGTGCGCAGCTCGGCACCGGTGCCCCGTGGGGCGACGAAGCCGCGGGCCGCATGGAGAGCCAGGCAAAGTCCGGCGGCTGCGGCCGCGCCGCGCAAGAACGCCGATCGAGTGCGCGCCATGTTTTGCCTCTAATTTTCGCTGGCTCAGGAGGACTTCGACACGGAAACTGCGGCGCGGGGGTTTTGATTCAGTTATTACAACGGAGCTTTAGGCGGTTACCAGGAGTTCACACCGCGCCGGTGAATGGCCCAATTCCTTTCGGAACCCCTCAGAGGCGACATTCTGGGGTCTTTTATAAACAGGTGCTTGCAGATTGAAGACCAATCTACATAAGTATTCGAGTAGAATTTGGGGGGTCTTCATTTCTCAAACTCCCATTCGTGGAGATCAGCAATGTCCTTGCATTCGTCGGTTTAGCCCGACGGCCACAACACGTTACAAACAATGGTTGCAACTAGTGTTGCTGCATGGGGATTGACCGGGTATCCGTATCCTAAATGCTGAACCCCAGCACCTAGACCCTAAACTCCACAACATACGGTGCCTTCATGGCGAGAATAATGTTTTGCGCCTAGTGGAGTGTACATGCTTAGGGGCTTGTCACGGGATGTTGTTGCGAGACCTCTACATTTTAGATTACACGGCTGCCTTTCTTTAGGGAAAATGCTGCCCATAAATCAGGCACCGCAACCGATCTGTCTACTTGCAGGATCGGGGACTTAGTAAGTGCATCTATATTGCAATTACAGCCCCCGAATACGGCTATACATTACAACCGTACTTCGGTGGATGATATAAATCCTGCATGACCTTAAGGACCCTAAACCATGGGAATTATGGTATGTTCCTTATTTTGGGTAATGCAGGATTTATATCATCAACCGTTGGGAGCTATAATTGCTGCAGCTAACTTCCTCGCTCCCAACAGCACCTGCAAAGTCCGCTTCTCTTTGAAGGAGCATTGCTTGGGAACCTCTTTGAAGGACAGCCCTTCAAATCTTACAGGCTGAGTACCCCAGCCCAAAGAAGGTTGAACTTTTTATATTAACCCCAAAAGGTTAAAGGTTACCTACTCAAAACACAAAGCAACACAGGGGACAGGGCTCAGGGCGATATGGCTGTAGAAAGCTTGTCTAAGGACCATAGCGGGACACGATTACACTACCAATTATCCCGACCCCCACACATAAACCCCCTGAGACTTATGCTCTGTTATCCAATGCATTCCCTAAACCCTAAAACCTAAACCCTAAACCCTAAACCCTAAACCCTCGGCCTCGAGTTCTTTCATGCGCTGGCAGGGATGTGTGATTCTGGGACGAAACCCCGAGGGTCCATGTACCCAAACAAGTGGCGGCAGTTGTCGTCGTCGTAGTAATAGTAGTAGTAGTAGTAGTAGTAGTAGTAGTAGTAGTAGTAGTAGTAGTAGTAGTAGTAGTAGCCATGTGGGAACCTCTTGTAAGGCCTCAGGGTCTGCTATCTAGGTACACGGACCTTCAGGGAAGCTAAGCAGCTGCTGGTACGAGCATTGTACGTCCTCCAATGGTTCAATGTGCTAATATGGGAGTTTCCGAAAATAGGGGGACCCCAATATACTACCCTATAGATAGTAGGATCCTTATTATAAGGTCCCCAAAATAAGGTACCCCCTAATTTCGGAAACTCCCATGTAGGGGTTTCATCAGAGCAAAGCTTTCGGGGTCTATTATACTATAGCTATGATAAGGAGCCCCCTAAAAGCCCTGTTCCAAAAAAAAATTAGGCCCCCCATAATATCAGCATTCGAGGCCGCAGGCCGCGAGCCTGAGTTTCTTTAATGGTGGGGCCAAAAACAACGACTACTTGCTTGGAAGTTTTTGGATATACTATACTGCACTTGCACTGGGAAGCTTTTAGGAAAGATGTCGACTACCATCTATCAACCCCTATCGCCTATATCGTGAGGCCAAAGAAGTTCAGTTGGACCAAGTCGGACTAGGAAGAGGGTGAAACAGCCGCAGGAAGTGTACACGATGAGGAGGAAGCCGCGAAATCGCAGAGTTTAGGGTTTAGGGTTTTATGGTTTAGGGGTTTAGGGCTTAAGGGTTTAGGGGCTTAGGGTTTAGGGGTTTAGACTTTAGGGGTCAGGGCTGATAGAGTTTGTCAGGTGCTTTTCAACCTACTTATTCAGTCCCCCGATCCTCCAGGTACGCAACTCCAATGCCTAAACCCTGACAACAACCTTTCAGACTGCAGCTAGATACCTAATGTAGGGGTCTCAATAAGTAGAATAGGTTTTTGGTGCCATTATACTATACCTACAATCAGAACCCCCCCCCCAAAAAAAAAAAAATAGTATTTAGGCCCCTAGATCACAAAAACCGGTATAAATCCCTTGTAGCAACCCTTTTAGACCCCTTTAAAGGAACCCCTCAGAACCCTAAACCCTCCCCTATGCCCTAAACCGAAGAGCCCTTACAGACCATGATGCTTGAGGGTCGGCTTTGAAAGCAATCTAGCGTAATAACAATATGGAGCAGGAAAATCTGTCGAGTATGTTTAGGGTTTAGGGTTTCCTTTAGTCGTCTAGAGGTCTTTGAAATTTGAAATGGGTTTTAGGATGGTTTATACGATAGAAAGAGCCTTAATCACGTTGTTTGTACTTGCACATCGTAGCGGTTGCCTAGTTGTGGGTTCAGGGCTTCCGATTCCGGTGTGAGAGGTCAAACTACTATTTGCTTAAGAACCCCCAAAAAAATAAAAAATATATTCCTTATAGGGATAATATAGGGATTATCATTTTTATTTTTTGGGTGGTTCTTAAGCAAATAGTAGCAAAGTCATGCAAGGGTTCAGCAGGGTTCGGGTCTAGGGTTGAAAAGTTCAGAGGCTTGCGGGCATAGGTTTCCAGAGCCTTTGCATGTCCAGCACTTTGCTCTCTTGGGCTATTGCATTTCGGGTTTGGGGGTGTAGGGTTTAGGGGTTAGGTGTGTGGCTCAGGTCTCATCGTTTGCCCCCGCCGCTGGTGTACAAGCACCTTGACCTGTCTTGAAGCGGCCTGCTTTACAGGCATGCTCCCTGTAGCCCGGGACCAAACACACTAAACCTTAAACCCTATACCCTAAACCCTAAACCCTAAACCCTAAACCGTGGCTCCCTATACCCTAAACACTGAAACGATAGACACCCTGAGATTGACAAGTTTCCGCACCCTAAACCCCTGAAGCCCTTTACCTCCTCCTAAAACTTGAGAGGACATGGATGAATCTGGGATCTACTTGGAGGTTCTTGGGTAGTTTCAATTACCCTACTTATAAACTGTTGAATCTCCCACATCCTAAACCCTGAATACCCTAGCTCTTCAAAACCCGAAAACACTAAAAAGGAACCAACATCCTAAAGCCTGAATACCTGAACTCCCCAAAACCCTAAACCATTAAAACTTAAAACGAAACACCGTGTGAAGGCCTACTCTTTGCTGGGCACGGGCCACTCCAGCGCCTCCTCTTCGCTGCTTCCTGCGCTGTGGGGAGGTCTTCAGCTATGGGGTTTAGGGGTTTAGGGGTTTAGGGTTTAGGGGTTTACTGATTTGAAGCTCCGGGGTTTAGGAGTTCGGCAGGGGTTTAGGGATTGAAGAGGGGTGTAGGGCCTCGTTTATGTTATTTAGTGATTTTCCTTCGGGTGCAGGAGGCGCTGCCAGATTTTCGACAAGATTTTGTCGCCACCTGTATTGGCGAGCAGAACCTGTGATCTCAGCCAGGCACGTAAGCCTTTTTATCCCAAGGAGGCCGTGCTCGTCAAGGAGACGGCACATGGGAGTCTGAAAATTAGGGGTACCTTAGTCGGGGTCCTTATAATGAGGATCCTACCATTTAAGCTAGTATAGTGGGGTCCCCTAAGACAGGGATTTTCGGGTCCGCCTGCTTCTGTAGGGGATGCTCTCGGGCAGCTTCTTGATATAGCCGATGGCCGCCGAGGCGTGGGTGTACTGCAGAAGCTTGTCGATGTCTCGGCGACCGTCCCGTGTCTGATACACGTCCTTGCCCAGAAGAACGTCCTTGGCCTCCGGATCTCGCCGCTCAGCATCGGTGCCTTCGCAAAGCTGCTTCGCATAGCAACCAGTCGTGAGGTTTGGGGCTTAGGGTTTGGGGTTTAACGATAGGGCGTAAGGGTCCTAGGGTCAAGTTTCAAGGATTTCGTTCTTGACGTTTGTAATGATCCGCTTCTGGGTGCTTTCCGCAGTTCATTTTCGCGGTTTTTGCTGTCGCAAGAGTATCGACTTCGCTTCTGGCCCGTGCACGAAGACTAGGTGCTTTCCTCTATTGATACCACCTGTAGCGCGTCAGACAAGAACATGGCCAAATTTCCGTGATTGCAACAGCACCTGCCTGTTCTTTTTGTTTCACCGTCGTTGCCCACATATCAGTGCTCGACTCACTCACCAGAAAGAATAACCCTACTAACCTTATATGAAACCGGTCCCCATTTGTAGGAACACTTGCAACCTCAGCCTTAAAATCTCAACCGCCCAGACCCACCCTCCCCGCCAGCACCACCGTTCGAATCCCAAGCAACTCTGGGAAGCCAGAGTCCTGAAAGCCTACAAGCCCGAAAAGCTGCATGATATTCGAGAATTGCAGGAAGCACGGGACTCCAGTCCAGAGCCCGAATGATAGCACCTTCCATACAAAACGCCCCCGATTTAGGGTACACCAATCTGACGAAACTTCTAAAGAAAGATCGAAAACAACTCATCAAACCTACACCGCCTGCATAAATAAAAACCATACAGCCCTTACCCAATACCCTATATTATCAAGCCCGAAGGGCTCCCTCCAGACCCACCGACCCCTTACATAACCCAGAAAACACCCCTAGCTCAAAACAGGTACAACTCTCAGACCCTGACCCCAAGCCCCAAACCCTAAGCCCTGTGCAAGCCCCAAGTTTTGTTCTACAACTTCAACCCTGAACCCCATCACGAAGAGCCTGAAGCCCTGAATGCTGAGGCTTGCGCTACCCGGCCACGCAGTGTAGACCTGGTTTTACTGCAGAGGTTATCTAATCAGAATAGGGTTCCTTCAAAGGGTTTTGTAGAAAGGGGTCCATAAAGGTTAGTCGGGTTCTTTCAGAACGGGGTTCTAGATTATAGCGGCCTCAATAGCAGGAACAGGGCTCCTTCAGCTTAAAGGTTCCTCTTGAAGAGGCGGTATCAGGGTTACTATACAGGGTAAGCCTTCATAGCTAGAGAGTTGGGTTTTGGTGTATGATTGTGAGAACATACCCTAAACCCTCTACCCTAAACCCTAACCCCTAAACCCGAATATACGGTACTTACAATCCGGGACCCTAAGGAAAATTCATTCCGTAGGGCCCCTTGTAGCAACCAACCCTAGCAACTCAACGCTGATAGCCTGAGCTTGAAACCTAAACACCCCAAACCCCAAACCTCTCACCCAGATAATTACCTCCTCGGCCCTAAACCCGGCCCTCAACCCTAAACCCCAAATCACTCTGTATAGTGCCCGTGAAGAAACGGCGCCAGGGGTACCGATTGGGAGCGTGTCCGAAGGCGGCTCTTGGCGGAAGCCTCACAGCTGGGCCCGCAGCCCCCCGTAGAGCTTCGGGTTTCGGGTTCGGGATTTAGGGTTTAGGGTTTAGGGTTTAGGGTTTACGATTAGCTGGGCTAAGAAATCACTAGGCCAGCAGTGTAGAAGTAAAAAACCCACCCGCCCAAAGAATCCCAAAACATTAAGACAATATACACTTTCTCCCTAACCCCTGAAGGCCAACCAAACATGCCCTAAACCCTAGAAGCCACTACTATACTCCAAAACTCGTTGCGCAAGCCACATCCCAACAAAAGTCGTTAATTTTGCAGACCTTAAGCCGGAAAGGACTGCAAAATTAGCGATTTTTGTTGTGCAGAGTGGTCCTCGCAACAAAAATCGCTAATTTTGCAGACCTCAGGCCGGGAAGGTCTGCAAAATTAGCGATTTTTGTTGTGCAGAGTGGTCCTCGGAACAAAAATCGTTAATTTTGCAGACCTCAGCCCGGGAAGGTCTGCAAAATTAGCGATTTTTGTTGTGCAGAGTGGTCCTCGCAACAAAAATCGTTAATTTTGCAGACCTCAGGCCGGGAAGGTCTGCAAAATTAGTGATTTTTGTTGTGCAGGGTGGTCCTCGCAACAAAAATCATTAATTTTGCAGACCTCAGGCTGGCAAGGTCTGCAAAATTAGCGATTTTTGTTGCGCAGGGCGGTCCTCGCAACAAAAATCGCTAATTTTGCAGACCTCAGGCCGGGAAGGTCTGCAAAATTAGCGATTTTTGTTGCGAAATTGTTTGCCCAGGGCCCTTCTCGCAACAAAAATCGCTAAGGCCATTAACATTTAAATATACATTTGAAAGAGAGGTTTAGGGATTAGGGTTTAGGGATTTAGGGTGAGGGCCTAGGATTTCGGATTTTTGGCAGAAGTTTGAAGGGTTTGCGTTCAGGTTTCAAGGTTTTTTCACCCCCAAACCCATACAGGATCTTCTCTACTACTAAGAGCACGTATAGAACCTTTAAAGCACCCTTCCTTCCCCGAGCCGAAACCTCAAGCGGCCGGGGTGTTCGGCGACGATTTTGTCTGGGACCACTTGCTTGGAGGCTCGTGGGTAGTTATAAGTGGGATTATAAGTAGGACAGGTATAGTTATAACCCATATTCGGGGACCTATAACCCTACTTGGAAGCCCTTTTGACTTAGTAAGTCTACTTAGTATCCCCTAGAAACCCTATTATAATCCCCATAACCCACCTTACTAACCCTACTTACTAAGTCAAAAGGGCCTCCAAGTACTTACAACCTACCATAAACCTCTAAGTAGGGTTTAGGGTTGAGGATGCCCATTGACTGATCGCCAACCCCACGCCCAAAACCCTTATCCCTAAACCCCAAATCCTAAAGCGGCTGAATTCCTAACACTTACATGGGAGTTTCCGAAAATAGGGGGGACCCTAACAGAGTATCCTAAATAGTCTAAATAGTAGGATGCTTGTCATGAGGAACCCACAATAAGGTACCCCGAATTTTCGGAAACTCCCACATACTTGTCCAGTACCCTGGGAGAACTAAAGGCTAGCCTGGGGTATAAACTAGGGATTAGAATACCCTAAAAGCTGATGGGATACCTACTCTACTACGAGCAAGAAGCTAGGGGCTACCGTAAGGGTGCCCCCTATATAGTAAGGGTACCCTTTCCTACTGGTATTTAGTTCTGATAAGGGATTTCAAAACGAAAAATTGGAAAAGGGAACTACTGGCGAACCTTGTAGATCCGACGGTTGATGATATAAATCCTGCATGACCCATAATAAGAAATATACCATAATTCCCATAGTTTAGGGCCCTTAAGGCCATGCAGGATTTGTACCATCAACCGTAAAGCCCATAAAGATCCGGTGTAGAGTCCTGTAGGGAGCCGTTCACTGGGAAGAGCAGAAGCCCAAAACCCCCTACCAAGAGACCAGAACCCTGAACCCTGCCCACGCGAAATTCGGAACCAATTCTTTCAGGTCTTGGGTTTTGGGTTTGGGGTTTAGGGTTTAGGGTTTAGGGGTTTAGGGTTTAGGGTTTAGGGTTTAGGGTTTAGGGTTTAGGGTTTAGGGTTTAGGGTTTTGGGGTTTAGGGTTTAGGGTTTTTAGGGTTTGGGGTCTAGGGGGTTGGATTTGGAATGTGCAGGGGGCTTCGAGCTCAGGGGATTGTGGATTTAGGGATTTCCCCAGTCCCTAGCCAAAACTAAAATGCAAAACACACTATCTGCTGATCTGATATGAAAACACACACCAAACCCTAAAACCTTAAAGCAAACGAAAGCAACAAGTTCCTCACAAAGCCCCAAACATATACCCAAACTCGCACTTCATATGACGAACTCTTGATCGAGACCGCCCAACCTTCAACCTCACAACGAAGCCGCCCTGGATTGAACAGAGAAACATTTCTGAACAGCGAGAGCAATCCGAGTAGAAGCGCCATTATTCAAAGAAACAAACACAGGACACCCTTTAAACACTCGACACACCTCCTACCAAACGCTTAAGGGACCACGACTTGGCTTTAAGAGATTGATCAACCAATAGACAAAAACATGTATCAATAAATAAACTAGTGGGTTACAAACACATGCATATACAGGCCTCTCTCTCTCTCTATGTATAGAAATATGCATGTACTGTATCTCGCATACTGTTTACACACACGTATGCACAATACACACATAGATACTTTCAACCCTAAACAAGAAACCCTAACCACTCGTCCCTCAAACCTAACCCCTTAGAAGCGCTAGGCTAAGCCCGAAGAAACCCCAACACAATCTAAAAAATTGAAACCTAAATTCCCAAAGGGTCCTAGGTACTGTTATGGGGGATACTTCCCCAAATCATAATAGTAATTCCTAATGCAGAAACCCTACATTCTACTATATAGGTACTTTGGACCCTTTGGGTTCGAACCTCGAAGCCACTACAGTAGAAGCCAGAAAATTGGAACATGGGTTTAGGAGGATTAGTGCTAGGATCCCTTATACTTTACCCTAAGGGCATCAGGATAATCATGTTCCAACTTTCTGGCTTCTACTATACACCCTTCGAACACGGCCTTGGCCCCAATGGCAGCATCCTCGGAGTGTCGGCGACGCGGAGGGGCCGCCGAAACTGCCGAAGGCCGGGTGTCGCTTTAATCTCTTATGGTTTAGGGTTTAGGGTATGGTTTAACCCTAAGGCTCTAAGGACTCACATATTAAGGCTTGAGGGCCCAAAGACCATACTATATCAGGACTTTCACATGGATCAAGGATTGTCGACGCACCAGTGTCAGGACTTTCTGTGCTGATTTTTCTGTTTTTTATGTTTAAAGTTGAAGGGGTTTGTCTTTGGTCTTTTGTGGAGACGAGCTGTGGTTTGGACCCTCGCGGTAAACCCGGGTTCCTTATTGGTATACTTATAGAAAACGGAACCGTAAAGGCAATAGCGTAAAGTATTTACTGTGAGACCCTTTGTCGAGCCGGGAGAAGCCTGTAAGGTTGCGTTCAATTTAGGGACCTGCAGTAACACTACTCTGATAATATCTTTAATCCGTTGAAGGATCAGGGAACGAAGTAAGCAAAGACATAAGTGCCTTAATTGGGGATATACAAATCCACATAAGCCTGTACCCAAAGCTGATGCGAATCAAAACATCCTAAACCCTAAACCCTTAAACTCAAAACCCTACACCCACCCGGTTACGTCCTGGAAGAAAAAGCCCAACAGCAGATTCGGAGGGTGGGTTACAGGTTTAAGGATAGGGTTTGTTTAAGGTTAGGATTTAGTAGGGTGAAGCCGGGTTATAGGGTTTACGATCATCCCCGCCCTCCTCCCAAAGATAAGGAGGTTTAGGGTTTAGGGCTTCTAGATATGGTACCTTCCTAGTGCCCATTCACGCGCAACTGTTGATGATATAAATCCTGCATTACCTTAAGGACCCTAGACTATGGGAATTATGGTATATTCCTTGTTTTGAGTACCCTAAAGCCCTATAGATCCCTTAAAGGAGCCCCTTAATGTTCCTTGTTTTGCAGGATTTATACCATCAACCGAAGCACTCCACAGCGAAGACCCTCTGCTTCTCGGACAAAGACCTCGGCAATGTAAGTGTTCTACAGCAGCCACCCGATCCGATGCTGGGAACCCCAGAGAGCCCAATACCCCTTAATTAAGGACTACAGCTTAAGGCCTAGGGGTTCCTCAAAGGGTGCCTTAAAGGGATCTAAAGGGGGGTTCTATAGGGAATTAAGGAAGTATGGCTTAAATCATAATTTCAAGCCCTATTTAGACGTTGAGCCATATTCCTCAGAAGGAGCCCCCACCCTGTAATAGTGGTATAATAGGAATATGATAGGGCCATAATGTGATCCTTATAGTCACTATTACAGGGTGGGGGCAGCTTCTAAAATATTCCTTAATTAAGGGGTATTGGGCTCTCTGGAACTGTCTCTCGCGGCCCCGGTCGTCATAGCGCCCCTCGGCCGCTAAGTTGGCTTAATATAGGGCCCCAAAAAAGCACATAAGCAAACATCAGGATAGGGATATCCAATACGACCCCCCCTTATAATGAAGCCCAATAAGGTAGGGGTATCCCCATAAACGCCTTATGCTTATCTGCTTTTGCGGGTCCCTAATAAATAATCGCTGTAACATTTTCATGCTGCGGAGCCTGCTCCCAAACCCTTGGGCCCACTTCGGACACGACACCACCGCCAAGACTGCATCTCAACTTCTTGAAGCCAACTCTGAGGGAAGCTCCGCGCCCACGGCGTTACAAGACAAGTTTATAGGCCCAAGTGTTCAATGAAGGTGCTTTCAATCAAAACACTAAAAAAAGCTACAATTATTATGTGAAGAATAATACTAATACTACTAATCATAACAACAATAGTAATTATAATTGTAATGGCAAGAACAACCCGACTTACGCAGCACCCTCAGGCGGTTGGAGAGGCGGCAGCGGCGCGCAGGAACCTAGGGAAGCGGGTGTTTCCCAGGGTTGGGGGGTAAGATTCTAAGATTCTGGTTTCAGGGCTTCTTTGTTGACCCGACAACCTGCTACTTTCAGGATTATGCGTGGCAGTTATAGAGGGTTTAGGGGTTTGGGGCTGACGTAGGAATCTGATTCATGAGTAGTAGAAGCCCTTCCAGTCCCTAATATTGCCTGCGGTGTCGTTTAACCACGCAGTTCTCAGCTAAGTACAAGAATGGCCAAACACCGGAGTTAGTCTGGGACTCTAATCCGCAAAACCGGCCTAACCCTAAAACTCGACACTAAAATCTTCATCACCGTTGCTTTAGCAAAACACCTTAAGCTAGAATATGGATCCCTGTGTGTAGCTTAAGGCATCTTCCTTACCAGGCCAGGAAACCCTTTTGAGTCTGTGGCTGCCTCTTGAACTCTCTTCTTCAACAACCGGGCCCCAATGAACTTTGGAAGATAGAGCCAATATCCTTACCTTTGGTTAGTAGGGAATGGAAGAATGGTAGTCATAGTAGTTATACTTGTACCGCATTCCTCCATTCCCTACTAACCCAAGGTAAGCTTATAAGGCCAAAAAGTTTAAAGTTCCACCGTTCAGTATCTAAGACTAAACCCTTAAAGGAACCCTTAAAGGAATCCTAAACCCTAATCCCTACACCCAAAAGATCCCGTAAAGGACTCTTTATGGCACCGTTAAAACACCCTAAGCCCTTCCCCCCTTCACTATCTACCCAGACCCCCGGGAGGATCTGGAAAGTAGATCCCCTAATTTGGGGCCCAACACTACTAAGGGTACTTTACAGGAACCCCCATGAAGGGATCTACTTTTTGGATCCTCCAAAGGGGGTCTGGGTAGGTGAAGGTCTGGGGTATCGTTATCTCCGGGTTCCCAAATGGGAGTTTCCGAAGATTGGGGGGGTACCTTACTTGGAGGTCCTTTAAAGGGTTACTATCAGGGTACTATAAGGTTTCCTTTAAAGATTTACTATAAGGGTACTATAAGGTTTCCTTTAAAGGGTTACTATAAGGGGTACCATAAGGGTTCCCTTAAAGAGCTCTATAAGGGTCTAGAGTTCCCGAAATTTGGGGGGTACCTTTAAAGGGATCCATAAGGAGCCCTATACTTGGAGGGTCGAGGGACTTAGTAAGTAGTTATTACATAGACTTATAAGTACCTTAATAGGGGCCCTAATTGGGGTTATGATACTTATAACTCTATAAAATAGCTACCTACTAAGTCCCCCGACCCTCCAAGTAAGGGTTCTATAAAGGGGTTGGGGTTTAGAGTTTCCGAAAAGTTGGGGGCCCTTTATGTGGGGGTCCTCATAATAAGGGTCCTACTATCTAGGGTACTACAGTAGGGTCCTCTATGTTCGGAAGCTCCCAGATCTAAGCAAAAGCAAGGGTCTGTAGTCAATAAGAGCTTTCCTTACTATGATAACTAACTTAAGCAAAAATGCAACCGCAGTTCCTCGTCTAGAGTGACTCGAGCCCAGCTTAAGGGTTCTTTGAAGGGTTCCATAACGGGTTCCTGCAAACAGCCATACGGGAGTTTCCGAAAATTGGGGGTACCTTATTTTGGGGTCCATATAATAAGGATCCTAGTATTTAGGTTACTACATCAGGGTCACCTGTTTTCGGAAACTCCCATATAGCTACCACTCTAACACCCCAATTGTGTAAGGTATGTGTCCTTACTTACTAGGTCCACAGGTGCTCCTAGATATCGAACACACTTTGACCAATCCCTGTCACCACCACACACATGACCCTGAGCCATAAAACCGCACCCCTAAATCCCGAACCCCAAACCCTACAAACTTTCAACCTGAACCTTTCAACATTTACCTGTACACTCTACACCTCCCCTGTCCCGGTATCTTATACCGGCATTCTGTAGCTCCCGGATGCGCTTAACAGCTCTTCCTGCATCTATGGTCAATTGCACTCCAAAGCACTAGCCAGTAGCTGGATCTTGCGAATTTAGTGGCTTGTTGAATTTGGATAGGACTTATAAGGGTATACGGTCTTATTAGCTAAAATGTAAAAAAACTATGTGGATACCATAAACGGATATCATTTCTAAGTCTTTATTCAGACCTCTTCTGGATCCGATTGAAAGCTTTCTATTGTAATATAATGCCCGTAACCCTTCAAAGCCTGCTCAAGCCCCGATATTATTTGGTTTCATCCTTCAGACCTCCACAGAACGCCGCCGCTGCAGCCAAGTGGCCTAGCCACGCAGCCAAAGCGCCACTCAGGTGGCCTAAGTGAGGTGAGAAGCTGCAGAGAAATCCTGTTAGAAGGTTTTAGGTAGACCTCTCGAAAAGAACCAAGCATGCCAAGAACATGCTAAAACGCAATATCAAGCACCCAAAAGCCTTATCGCAACCTAGTTCCCAGGTAAGCTGGTGGAAAAGCTACCATGGGGGGCCAAATAATTACCAATACACTTCCTCTACAGTAGTAAGAAGAAGTGGCCCTCGGATTGGAATCTCTGATGCACCCACCGTAAACCCCCAAACCGCATACCCTAAACCCCACACCCCTAAACCGCCTTAACCCTAAACCGCCTTAACCCTAAACCCTAAACCCTGAACCCTACCTTGACCCCAAGTAACCTACCTTTTTGAGGACTTATATAAGGAAGTCGTAATACGTAAGGAATCCCAAAAAAGGTAGGTTCTTCAGGGTTAAGGTTTACCCTAAACCCCTATACCCTAACCCCCAAACCCTTTACCATAAATCCTGAACCCTAAACCTTTACCATAAACCCTAAGGCCTACACCCCTGAACCCCTATACCCTAAACCCCAATACTAACTACTTACTAAGTCCCCCAACCCTCAGGTACCCTCAACCCCTCAACCCCATACCATAAACCCTATACCCTAAACCCCTAAACCGTAAACCCTAAACCCCTAAACCCTAACTCCGAACCCCTAAACCCTCATAGAATCCCTATAGATCCCTTTAAAGGGACCCTTAAAAGGAACCCTAAACCCCTATACCCTAAACCCCTGAACCCCTATACCCTAAACCCTGAAGCGCATCTTCAAGGCCGGAGCCTGATCGAAGCGAAAAGTTCGGCGGACGCAGACCTGCCAGCGACCGTTGCACAGCTCGGGTTTAGGGGTTCCTTTAAAGGGATCCATAAGGGGCCTTTAAGGGGATCTATAGGGATTCTATAAGGGTATGGGTTTAGGGTTTAGTGCCCTATTGGGGTTTAGTGCCCTATTTGGGGATCCTTTAAAGGGTTACTGTAGGGTTACTGTTGATGATATAAATCCTAGGGTTCCTTTAAAGGGATCTATAGAGGTACCTTTAAGGGGCCCCTTTAAGGGATCTATAGGGCTTTAGGGTTTAGGGTTCAACTACGGTTTAGGGTTCCTTTAAAGGGATCCATAAGGGTACCCAGAGAGCCCAATATCCCCTTAGTTAAGGAGTATGGCTTAGAATATATAGGGGTTCCTATTATGATTTAAGTTATGTTCCTTAGTTAAGGGGTATTGGGCTCTCTGGTTACCTTTCAGGGGCTCCTTTAAGGGATCTATAGGGCTTTAGGGTTTAGGGGTTAGGGATATAAATCCTGCATCACCCATAATAGGGAATAGACCATAATTCCCATAGTCTAGGGTCCTTACGGTAATGCAGGATTTGTATCATCAATAGTAGGGTTTAGGGTTAGTGTAGGAACCTGATTGAGAAACCTTGGGTGGGCCTTTATTAGGGTTCCTTATATGAATCCTAGCATTTCTTCATCAGGTTCCTACATTTAAGGCGGTTTAGGGTTTAGGGGTTTAGGGTCAAGGCGGTTTATGGCTTAAGATTTTGGGATGCTTGCGGGTCCTGAACTCTAAATCGTCAGGGCTTTAGGATATTGTCGCGCTTAGTGCCCGGGATAGTTTAGGTTTAAGGTGAGTGTAAGCTTTTAGGGTTTAGGGCGTTCAGGGTTGTAGGGTTTAGGGCATCTTCGAGTTTGGCGTTTTTTAAGGGAATTTAAAATAAATTAGGATCTTGCTTCATATTTAGGCGGTCTTGGCGATCTGCTAATCGTTGACTCCAATTCAAACCTCCACATGGGAGTTTCCGGACATAGGGGACCCTAATATAGTAACAGTTGGTCCAACGTCCCACAACTGTCTCAGCAACGGTTCTTTGTTGTGAATACTTCCTGCAAGTCTGCAAGCAACCATGCATCTACTAAGCAACAGTTCTAGTTCATGGCTGGGATAGGATTAAAAAATGTACATTTTTATGCCTAACTTATAGGGTTTAAGTGCCCACACACATGTAAAATGTTACCCAACTATGACAAAGAGTTGAGGGTTTGGAGTTTCCCATAGCGATCTAAGGACCTAACCAGTCGCAATACCCCACCAGAGCTGCTGCCTTAGACCCTAACTCTAAACTTAGAGTTTAGGGTTTAGGGGTTTAGGGCTAAGGGTAAACTCTAAACTTAGGTTCCTAAACCCTCAACCCCAAGCCCCACCCTACAAAGGCCCTTACACTAAGCCCCCATCATACCCTGTCAGAACCAGCCCAAAGAACCCGGCTAAAGATTCAAACCGAAGCTAAAACGCACTGGGGCGGTTGTCACAATCATGGTCCCTAATTGGGTACCTTAAATACTAGCTGCCGTACTATATTAGGGAATCAAAAAGGAACCATAATTTTGACAACCACCCTTGTAGTATCATGGCCCCTAAACCCTAAAACCTCCAAACCCTAAAACCTAAACCCTACACTCTAAACCCTAAACTCTACACCCTAAACCCTAAACTCCAAACCCTAAACCCTAAACTCTAAACCCTAAAACCTAAACCCTAAACTCTACACCCGAAACCCTAAACTCTAAACCCTAAACTCTACACCCTAAACCCTAAACTCTAAACCCTAAACTCTACACCCTAAACCCTAAACTCTAAACCCTAAACTCTGAACCCTAGCACCGAAGCTAAAACGCACTCGGGCCTGCGGCTTCAGGCTGAGGTAGCCAAACAGGAAGCTGCTCTGCAACCCTCGGTAGGGCTTACTTAAAGGCTCATGGGACTTAGTAAGTAAGGTTATAAGTAGGTTATAATTAGGATAACACCACTTAGGGGACTTATAACCCTAATTATAACCTATTTACTAAGTCCCATGATCCTTTAAGTAAGCTTTAAAAGGAACTCCAGAATGTTGGAATATGGTTTCAAGGTAGGATACCTTATAATTTACCATAGAAGGGTTTAGGATAATCATATTCCAACTTTCTGGCTTTTACTTTAAGCTTTAATGGCTCTACTGGGTTCTTGTTAACAGGTTTAACATTAAGCTACCACAATAAAGAAGCCATATTATTTACTACAGACCCCTAGTATGACAATCTAAATTAAATTTCGTAAACCCCAAACCCTTATAGAACAGTAATGGAACCCTAAAATTGAACCCTTATAGATCCCTGTTACGGTAATTAACTCCCAAAAAGGAACCCGGTCTAGGGGGGGATCTATACGAGTGCCAAAGGAGTTTCAGGGTTTTAGAGATTGGGGCTGAAGAGGTTAGGACCCAGAGCCTCCAAGACCCCTTAATTAAGGAATACACCTTAACTCATATTAGGATCCCTTATATGATTTAAGGTATACTCCTTAATTAAGGGGTTTTGGAGGCTCTGGGAGGTTAGGATTTGCCAAAAAGCCCAATATCCCTTAATTAAGGAATGTGGCTTCCTTAAAGGGCTCCTTAAAGGGATCTATAGGGGCTCTATAAGGGAATTAAGGGGTATGGCTTGAATTAAAAAGGGCCTCATATGATGATTTAAGCTATATTCCTTGATTAAGGGGTATTGGGCTCTCTGGGTTAGCATTGTGGCGGCTTAGGGTTTAAGGCTATTTTGGACATCGGAGATTTCACGCGGCGTTTTTGAGGCCTCTACAATTGTTTTTGCAATGTTCTGTTCAGGATTCCGGGAATTGATTGCAGCTTCGGGAATGGCCCCTCCACGAGCAACTCCTTCACCGGACAGCTCCCCAAACCTTGCAAAATCCCTTCATTGAGTGGCCCTAAACCCTAAAACCTAAACCCCAAACCCGGTGAGCTTGGGCCCAAACCCTAAACCCGATCGGTTTCAGCCGGAGAGTCGTCTCCTGTCGCTGTCGGTGCGCGGCGATCAGCACGCCCAGGCAATCCAGAAACTCTTCTCGAGCCTAAGAGGCCAGGGTTTAGAGGGGCTAATAGGTAGGCCTCAGAGTTGTATGAGTTGTATGAGGTTATATACGATTTTATGCAGCTTCATTCTTGTAGGGCTTTAAATAAGGCATCTGAATACTTGAGGGGTTTGGTGGGGTACATATCATAGCAGAGTTACATCGAGATTATCTGATGATGGTGTCACGAACTGTTCAGACCTTTGTAGAAACCCCTTTGATTGTAATGCAACGCTGCTTCTAGGATTCCGTCGGATGTTTTATCATACATGCCCATGAACAAAAGCGATGTCGTCCAACACCATCGTAGGATAGTGCTCTCTCATGATTCCCATTTCTTGCTTCCTTCAACCCCAAATCCCTAAACCCCCCTATATAAACCCTCGTACCCTTTTCTCCCGCCTCCGCGGAGGGTAAAACCACGGCCGCCGGCGCGGCCGCGCCGTCCAGCAGGACGAGGCAGGCTAAGAGCGCCTCCTCTGGAACTGCCTTTTTGGGCTAAGGGGTTTAAGGGTCTACGGCTTTAGGGTTAAGGGTCTAACTCGGTGTTGAGAGGTTAAGATGATTTATATAGGGGTTTAGGCTTTAGGGGTATACGTCTTATGGTAGGGTTTCATCAGGGATTCTACAGAGAATTCTGCAGGGTTGTAGAGCTTTTACGAGAGCTTCAGAGGGGATTCCCGATCGCTTCCTCGATGGTTTACAAGTTCGTGTGCATCGTACAATTATATTATAAAATGTTCATTGCAAGGTCTAACATGGGTCTCATCGGGTTTTAGGACTTTCTGTAGGGGATGGGGCTTCTGCGGGTTGTCGGTGGTTTTGGGCCATGGGGGTTCAGAGGTCTGGGTTTAGGGAACGCCTATATACACTAAGGCGTTTTCATGCAGGTTTCAGGAAAAGCCCCTGTAGTAAGAGGCTTTCTTCAGGTCTAAGACTCCTTCAGAACGTCGCTTTTGGAGGTGCTAGGGTGATCTAAGGGTGTGGACTAGGGAGAGCGCCGTCTTCGACATTGACTTGTGCTTTTGGGTCTTGTAGCACAGTAGAAGCCTTGTTTCGTTGTTTTTAGTGTGTGTGTGTGTGTGTGCGTGGGCGGGGGGGAGGGTGGTTGAATGCGATCCTTCAGACATGCGTCGATATGTGTGTGTGTGTGTGTGAACCTCCCTAGCACATGGGAGCAGAGGGTCACTCCTACACTGTTTGCAATTTCGCTTTTCAACACAATCCGGCATTGGACATTTACCAAATCAAATGTTGCAGGGGGACACAGCATGTCGCTGGGACTGTGTCCAACGAAGCTACCAGTGACATGGGAGGAGAGGACTGATCATCCTCTTGTACCTGCAAGCTGGGCCCCCTGAGGCAGCAAGATTAGAAAACGCTGGCCCCCTGAGGCAGCAAGATTAGTGCATTTACGGTTTTCACCTTTTGCTTGAGCACAAAGCCTTGCACGTTTGCCGCAATCTGACAAGCTTTTGCAACAACATGCCTCTCTTTTTCCTCTTGCACTCGTACTCTTGGCCGAATCCATCAGTGTGATCAGCGTGGGTCGTTGAGACTCCAGAGCAACGGCTTTCCGTCATGGCGCCGTGGTGACCCTCCGGGGAGACCGGTGATGAACCGGGTGTTCAGCCTTCGTTCAGATCGTTCAGAATCTCCCGATGCTACTTTATCTCTCTCTCTCTGATGCTCGCATGTGAGTCTGACATGAGTGCAGGTGCAGTAAGGGACGGCTAATGCAGTAAAGTGCGTCTAGTGAGCAGGTGCTACCTCTCTAGTCTGCCCCGTATTTTACCGCTTCTTTATTCCTCAGGGACTGCAAGGGCATGTGCATCTGACATGAGTGCAGACGCGGTAACAGTGTCTACAGCAAGTGAAACAGCGCTCTCTTCGGAGAGTACTCGGCCCTCTTCCTTCTCTCCGTCTACGACCTCTCAAATCAGTCCAGCAGGGACAACCAGGACAGCCTGCACTTTGCTTGTGCAACTGTGTTTGTTTCACCCACTTCGTTGCAGCTATGTGGCCGGATTATTTTGCCGCGCAGCCACCAGCAACACCATATGCACCAACAGCCCGACCGGTGCTGAATCAATTTCACCCGAACACCTGGGTACCGCAGTCACAAAGCTACCCAGCAATGATGCCAACTGGCATTGCTGCCACTCAGCAGCCCACACTGCCGACACAACCCACTACGATTCCTGTTGAGCAGACGCACAGCTTCCCCATGATGCCGTGTGGACACACTGCTCCTATTCCACAGCATCCGACGGTATATACACATCTCAGCACACCACAACCCCAGATGCCACAACAACCTCCACCCCAGCAATTCATGTCACAACACCCCCCCACTTTCCTGAACCCTGCTCTATTGCCTCCCCATCCAACAGTTTTTCCCACGAGCCCATCAACTCTGACACCGCATCAGCCCCAGCCTACCACATACAACCTTCCTTTTACACCACCTGCTCCACAACCCCAACCTGCACCTTGCAACATCCCTTCCACACAACCCGCTCAACAACCCCACATACCGCCGCCAACAACACTCCAACAAGCTTCACAACTTCACCCCACCAGTGTTCCCACTACCGATGCCACACACATTGCCCCGCAGACACCGGCAATGACTCCCCAACAACAACCAACAAACACAGCCAACACCCCCTCCGTCAGCACATTGCCACCCACACAACCACCCCCGGCTACGGGATCGGCAGACACCGACCAGTTTGCAGCACGTACTTCTCCCCACCATCCTCCGTTGCCACGCAGGCGACGGCGCTCACCCACACGCAGCAGAACTCGCACCGTGAGCACTAGGCGCCGACGTCGCACACGCAGCAGAGCACGACCGGCAAGCAGCGGGAGACACCACCACCGACGCAGACACCACCGATCCCGCGACACTCGCAGAAGTCGTTCTCGCAGGGACACCAGACAATCTTTGTCGACACCTCCGCGGACCTCGGTTGTGCTCCGTAGCTATTCTACAGTGCGTGATGATGATGCCAACAAGTGGCATTACAGAGCCACACAGCCACGTCAGAGGCCACCTACCCCACCCAAGGTCCCACAAAGGACATTGGCCTCGCAGGTTCAGCGAATCGCCCTCCGCATCAAGGGCAGCCAAGCAGCACAGCCCCCAACAGGCCAGGGCACACCCTCTCGCCAACAGGTTCAGCACAATCCCTCCAGCTCTATTCGGACACCTGCCCCGATTTTTGATGCCTCCACAACTGCTGCCCCATCGGGTCAGCCAACCCTCGAACAACTGGGCAAACAGAGCAGACCACCACAGATTGATGTGGCGCCTTTCTCTGAGCTTTACGATCATGAAAAGCCGACCCCCCACGCTGTCGACATGGAAGAAGCACATAAACTCGCCAAAACCTTGGGCGAGATAGCTGCTGACAGCGATTTCAGGCAGGAGACTTTAGCCGAATTTGCACATGCCGTGCTACAGTCGGGCACGCGATCAGCGTGCAACGAACTGGGGGCAACGCTGACGCCAATATCGGACGGCGTACATACTATGTTATTCATCCCGTGGGCTGGAGAGACTCGCAGAGCATTCGGCACTCGTGCCACCGACCCACCAGGGGAAACATACATCTACACCGCCGGACACGGCACGAGCATTGCAAGTGCCGCGCGCATAATGCGCGAGGACTTGGTCCGCCCAAGTTCAGTCAGCCATTGCTTCGACGACAAGTCCTATCCACCCATTCCCTCTTGCGTCATATACGGGAATGCGACCCCAGGAGATGTATCGGAAAGCACGGTACATATAGTTACCGATCAATGTACACGGCGGCCCAAGGGCCAACAGGGAGTGATCGTCATCGGGACAATACGGACTAAGTATCAGCATTACAAGATGACGTATCGGGACATGTACAGAGAAGCTTTCATCGTGGGGCGAAAGGGTGTCGTGCGGACCCCAGAGAAGTGGGGATTCCACTCGGGGCATTTCAGCATCGTTGGATTCGGCCTCATTCAGTGATGTTGCTTTCTTCTTTTTCTTCCGTGTCTTCCTTTCACTTTTGAGTATATTTTCTTCCAGGCCTGAATCCCGTTGCACATAGCTGTTTGCAATCAAGCATATGCTCCGACACCGCTTTTGAGCCAAAGAAGAGTCGATGCAGCTGCATGCTGGATGCATCGCACAAGTTGATGTTGACACTCAAGCCAACCATGTTGCTCATGCATGTTCCATGTGCAGCTTTTGCAGTCACAGGCAATTGTAGTGCCCCATTGTGCAACCATGTACAAGCCGACACAGCCTCAGTGGCATACAACAATGCCAACAGGCATCATCGGTACAGCAATCAGTACGGTGCAGCGACAAACAGCCTCGACCAGTAGCACCCCAATGCACCCGATCTCCCCACCACCAGGGATTCACAACATCCCACCACACACCTCACCCCTAACCCCGACTACTTGGGGTTCAGCTCACACTTACAGCCACAACACCACTTTCCCACCTTTCCCTCCACCCCCTCCCCCACCCCAGCAGTTTCCCGGCCCAACATCACCCACCACACTGCCAACCCCCACACCTGCCACTCCCCAACACACATTTGTGAGTCCATCTTCGATGACGACTCGAAACCCCAGCATTTCTTCACATACATTACCTCAGGCCACCGTCACACCCCAACAACAACAACACCCCAATCCCACGCCTACAAATCCCCAGATACCAAACGACTTCGTTCAAACACCAGAGCATTGGGACAACAGGCAGCTTTTTGGCCTCAACCTACCCAAACACATTCAATCTACACCACATTCAGTGCACAACCGCACGGCAGGCATGCCAATCGCAACAGCACCATTGGTCGCATTTCTGCGACACAATTGGTCCTCGTACTGGCTACGGTACGCCGCACACGGCTTCGACATCCATCTCACATGCAGCAAACACATCAGCGAAGCCGTCTTTACCACTGAACTTATGGGTCAACTCCGAGCAAGGAGAATTGATCTGGACCAAGCGGCCACCGCATTCTGCTGGCAAGAAAAGCTCACACTCGCAAAACGACCAGCAATGTCACACCTCATCAAGGAATTGGTGTTGTACCTGCAAGAGCTGCAGGACCAGTACAATGATGGCAACAAAAAGGACAAGCAAGATGTCAAATCTGACACAGACAACACACAATCGCAACCCACCGAATCTCCAACACCACTACAATCCAGCAAATCACAACCTCATCTCCCACTTCAACCTTCGCAGCCGACAGAGGCAGACACTATGGCGGCACATCGCATCAGCGACCTGGAAGCACGACTTTCCACAGGAGTGGAGACAATTGAAACTCTCCGTGCTCCGGATGCACACAATGAGGCACCCAACACACCAGCACCAAAGAAACCAAAACGAACCACCGCACCCAGCACTCCCATCAACACGCCCTCTCCACCACCTCTCTCACTTTCCACAATTGAGATTTCCCCCACCACAACCACTCGTGGAC